AACACGAGAAGCTTGAGAAATACCAAGGGCTGAAAGAAGAGCTAGAAAAGATGTGGAAGGTGAAGGCACAAGTGGTCCTCGTGGTAATAGGAACATTGGGGGCTGTGACCCCCAAACTGGGAGCATGGCTCCAACAGATCCCAGGAACAACATCTGAGATCTCTGTCCAGAAGAGTGCAGTGCTAGGAACAGCTAAGATACTGTGCAGGACCCTCAAGCTCCCAGGCCTCTGGTAGAGAACCCAAGCTTGAAGGAAGGAATGAGACCGCTCCAAAGTGGGGGGCAAATGGGAAATTTTTTTTTATATAATATTAGAAGAGAAGCCATTATTTTTCAGCTAATGTATTTCATATCAGGAAAAGCACTGGTGTAATTAGGTGGTTGCATTCCATCAGAGCCCTGGTGCTGTGCATGCTGGCTCCCAGGCATCACTTAGAAACAGAGACATCATTAGTGTTACAAGTCAGTGTTTGCTGTAAAAAAAAAATTAAAAAAATAAAAATCTATAATTGAGTGAGCTCATAAAATTTCTTTGCAGGAGGAAAAGAATGGACACACACACACAGTGAAAAACAAGCACACAGACAACACTCATGTATGCCTTAAAACTGGAACACCTAAATGGAAGCCATCCTAAGCGTTATTATTTAGACCTGTATTTCTCCTGCTAGCCAATCAAAAAAAGAATCTTCTAATTTGTTATTTTGGGTTTTCTGAGCAACATTTAATTTGATTTCAAGTCAAGTTCAGTCCATGTCTTTATTTTCCCACTATGGTCTTGCATCCCCTTGAGTTCTGATGAATACAGTGAGATAAGAACAAAGGATTTTGTGTTTGTGCTCACCAGCTGAGCCAAATACAGGCACAGTACAGTGTCATATTTAATAGCAGTACACAGAAATACACACAGTACCTTTAGTAGTAATGACTTCTGTGAGGCAGCAGCGTAGTGTATGTGACTTGGCATCCTTTTGTGGCAGCAGACATAGCAGCAATATTCTAGCTACACAGCGGAGGTAGGCCAGCTCTGAGTCTGCACTGACCAAACATGGATGGAGGGGAAACGGCCGAGCACACTCCTCCGGTCTGAACACACACACATGAGAGAACCACAGATCAAGACTGAGATATAAACAAAGAAGACAGAGTGAATCTGAAATATTATTCTGGAAGAGCAGGATGTGAGATCTTATTACGAGGTGCAACCTGATTCACACAGCCATACATTACCATTGTTATTCATACTTGAGCTGTGTCGCATTTCGCCGTCTTTGCTTATAAAACTTGACAGAACACACACTGCTGCTACATTGTTCCTACACTAATGAAAACGAGAGGCCAGGCATCTCTGTTGTGTGATCAAATCACAACTCTCGCCTGACTTGCCAGGATAATGAAACCTGATGATGTGTGAATCATCACTCCGTCCTTCTGCGCTCTCTTTCTCTCTCTCTGTGTGTGTGTGTGTGTGTGTGTGTGTGTGTGTGTGTACCTGGCTGATGCTGTCTGGAGACAAAGCAAGTGATTATGGAGGATCATAATGTTTTTTACGCTGTACTGAACTGCCAAAATTTCAACCCATCTACGTACATAAAATTATGGTGTTGTGAAGAGAAGTTTTTCAGTAACAAATGAAAGCTGAAACATATTTTTTTCTTAGACATCAGTGAGTCATAGCTCTGTGCAAAGGAAATGGTACTCAGACGTGACACCCAAACTTTACACACACCAACATTACAATCCTAAAAGCACACCATTTTACTGGAATTCCAATGATTTTTGGTGGTGAATATCTCAGAACAATTAAGGCAATTCAATTCATTTATATAGCTCCAAATCACAACAAAGGTGATCTCAGGACGCTTGATAAAGTAAGGTCTTACTACCTTACCTTACTATTATTATTGTTGTTGTTAATATTAATATTATAGTGAAAAACCCAACAAAGCAATACAGCTTAAACTCTTTACAATTGTGTGTGAGTATGTTTGCGTACCTTGCAGATGCAGCTTTGAGGTCTGTGAAATGTGTATGTAGAATCCGGATGCTGTCATAACATACTACATTGACTAGGTCTATATCAGTTAGCCTTGATCTCAACTGCCCAATCATCTGCCACCAGTCCTCTGACAGTATGGAGTACAACTGGCCCTCATCGTGACTCAAAGGCTTGTACCAGGAGAAGATGTAGTCTCCATAGGCATAGTCAAACACTGGGAAGAGATGGCAGAGAGAGGAGTTCAATATAATTCTTGTCAAAAGTGCATGTGTGTACAAATACTTTGTTCAGTATATGCCACTGTACAATGTCTTTATGAACTGAAAGTTACAATACAATTTCAGTCCTTTGAAGACAGAGAAAACATCTAGTATGTTTAAAGATGCCATTCATACTATTTTACTGTATCTCTGCAAAAAAAAAAAAAAAGAAAAAAAAAAGAATTTTCAGCATCAATAAGCATCGTAAATTAATGCCAGACCTCCTTGGAGACTTTAAATGTTTTAAACAAGAAGGGCCACCCTAGCTCTCTTCTCATTGCAAATGCTCTGATCTCCCAGCGCCCCTGAACTACCCAACATGTGTATTGCGCTAGGTTTCATTTCCCCAAACCCCAAGTGCAGCACAAGCTATTCTTAACAACAATAAAAACAAGCTAATAAGTGCCAATGGAAAGCCAATGTCCTGAACCTGAGCACTAACACACAGCTGATACAGAAACAGTTCATCAGACATATCAGGTCTTGACTGTGAACCTAACTATGTCATCATAAACTCACACCATGCTACCACCAAAGAACCTTTTCACAACATATAGTACATGGGAGCATGTGCTGTGTTGTAAATCCTGGAGCCATCTGTTAGTTGGCAGACAGACATACTGGTCCCCTGATTCTGTGTGTGTGTGTGTATATGCGCATGTGTGCTGTTGTATGTCCAGGACATTCAGCTGGTTTATTCCACTATGAGTGGGAGTGATCGGTGACAGGTCACTGTGACTGACAAAAAGAGCTCCACCTATGAGCAGTTTTCTCAGAACTAGAACCTGAACATCTTGCCACTACTGTGAGAAACAACTCCAACTAGAGCTTGAAATTGAAGGGTTTTATAATGTTACAACCATGTGAGAATACAGCAGCGGATAGTCCGGAGTATTGACATGGAGCTAGTGGGTGTGTTCATGATACATCGTTGCAACCATTAAAGTCATTAAAGTCTCTTGTACAAGTAGATGTTTGAAAACACTTCTAATAAAGTACAAATCTCAAATTTATGTGGCCTGGCCTAGTGGGTTTGGTTGTCCTTTTCTCCTCGTTCTGCAATTGGCTGAATAGATCCGACCTAAATGTACAGCCATGTAGTGGACACAGTCACCGTTTTAGTGGGTATTCCTCCTCGACTAATTACTCAAGTATTCAAACGCTAGGAGGCGGCCCTAGGCAGCACACTTACGGTATATTTGTGTTGAAACAATGCTCTTATAGGCAATTATTTTTCTGAGCCATGGTTATAGGCTAGTTTACCAACAAGTTTGAGCTTCTCACATCAGTTAACTACAGCACATGTTGTTAGGTTTGATGTGTGCCAATTTTCACTACTAAAGAATACAAGAATATTTACTTATGATTACTCTGATTCATAATGCCTCACTGAATAGTTTTCCCAACGCATTTTTGTTAGCTTCCTATTCTCATTTGGATGGATGCATGTCACAGAAACTTAAGATAAACAGCTGTGTTACACTACAAACCAGACACATATACAAATTCAGCCACATCGTCATGAGCATTAAAGTCCTTTCTCTTGTAAAAGTAGACCACATTGTTTGAAAACACTTCTAATAAAATACAAATCTCACCTTTGTGTCTTGTCCTAATGGATTTTGTTGTCTTTTTCTCCTCATTCTGGGCAGCAGTTTGCTAAATAGTGTTGTCGGAGCTTATACATCTATGCATTCAGGTAGTGTCACTGTTGAAAGGAGAATTCCCCCTCTCCCAACCACAGAGGGAAGTACTGAGCAAATTACTGCTTGGTCCACAAAAATGAGGAGAAGAAGATGACAAACTAACATACATTTAAAATATAATAAAATAAAAACTAAGGTTTGACTAGAAGAGTCTCAGTTGACAGACAGGTCTCTCAACTAATGAGTCAACTAGTCAACTTTCAGGGGGCAGCTCTAAATTCTTGTTAAATCTGTTTAAATCTTTAAAATTGTACCTTTGAAACTGTAACTGCAGCATTATAATGCAAGCACTAAATTCAAGCATTTCAGAAATGGTTATTTCATTATCTGAAAGATACAGTATGTACTGTCATGTGTTCCTGTGTAAGAATTTGGACTCGCTAGTGCACTTTGTTCTTCACACTTGCTCTGTAGAGGACATGAAACACTTCAAAAATGACAGAATATTAATTTGCAGTACCAAAATACTATCTGAAGTGATCTATTCATTGCCAGTGAAGGGGAAGTGGCTATTTCCCTATTGCTTAAAATTTTCAATGTTTATTGCAATGTCCTCAGCTAACTTTTACACAATGTTTCGAAACCTATAATGCTGACCAAAATACCTCACATGTACACAAGAGTTTCTATGTGTATTCACATTAATGTGGACATAAAACGTGATCCATTACCTTCCTTCAGAGCTTTGTCCATATTATGTGACACTACCACCCTCCTGCTCTGACTTGACTCCTGAACTGGCACCGAAAAGCGAGCCTAAAAAAACAACAAGAGCATCACATCACTTCACTCCAAATCAATCACAGATGGGGACAACAGAACAAAATCAGGAAATGTTGTGCAACAACAAGTAGGGAAGGAAAAGAAGATCAGTGCTGCATGTGTTACAAGCCTAAAATCCTTACAAACAAGGCAGTCCAAATTTGTCATAGCTCATACAACATGTTGTCCAGACAAATACTTCTGACAATATTCTCCACTGTCAACATGAATAAGTCATCAGTACACAGCAGGGGCTGGTGAAAGGCAGCCTCCAGCCAGCTGCAAGGACACAATCTCTCTGCTTTAGGAATAAATCACAATAAATGTTGATGTTTACGTAAATCCAGCAGCATGACTCTTCCTCATCTATTATAGAACAGCACCTGACGATCAGGGGGGCAGGGAGAGAAGGTGAAAGGGGGACGAAAGATGGGCACGGGAGGAAAATAACTTTGAATCAGTTGAGGGGACTGTTAGGGATGCAAAAGTTAAAAATATCAAACCTGAATGTGCATGTTTAACATTTAAGATTTGAGACACCATTATTTTACATGAACTTAAGGGAAGAGGTGACTGAGGTACCAAATTAGGTTACAGTATAATTTGGCTGCTTTTTGTCTTTCAATTTATTCCAAAAGTACAAGAGAATGTTTCCTGATGACATCAGTGAATGTAATACTTATGGTGGGTCTAGTAAAGATTGTGTGTGTTTTACCAAAGCTGATCTGTGTTTGAGTAATGTATTAACTAGAAGCTAACAGTATCTTACCATGAGCTTGTTGAAGAACTCCAGCTGTGCAGCTGATAGCAGTCCATGTCTGTCAAAGGAGCTGACTTTGAGAGGACTCTTCCTGACTAGTAGAATAAAGCTCCCAGCCAGGAAACACAGTAGGGCGAACGACGCATAAATAAACAGCTTCAAGAAAAAAGAGGTGAGGGTCAGGCCTCCCCAGGCCAGCTGCAACACTACTGCTGCCACCACGCCCAGGCAGAGAACCGGGGCAACTTGGAAAGAGGAGTTGTCAGAGGAGGTGGAGATGGCAGACATGGACCCTTCTTCTCCACCGGTACTGCTACTCTCTGCAGCCTGTGGTGTAGTGGTAGCTGAGGGGGTGAGCATACTGTGACCCCACCATCCATATATGTATCACCACTGGGTAGGCTGAAAAGTTGGCCCACTAGTCTATATGCCAGGTTACAGCGGTATATATCCTGCGTATACTTGTGTATACCCTCGGCTATAATCCTGTGTCCAAAAAGAGGCATCCCAGCTCTGACATCTCCTCACCGACCCACACCGTTATGTTTTCCACCCTCCTCGCATCGGCCCGCCGGAGCACCGTCAGCACATTCATTCAAAACAGAGTTCCCCAGACAACAGACCAGGACGCCAGTCTTGTGTTGGAGTAGATGACAAGATGAAAGTTGCCCAGAAAGCAGACCGAGAGCAACCCGAGGAGGTGGGATGGATGGAGCAACAACCACTGTCACCCTGGAGACAAATAGATGGAAGGGTAACTTAGTGACTGTTGCTAACCTAATGACTAAGCTAGGCTAGCAGGAAGCTAAAGTATAAGTTAGTGCTGCCCCTTTTAAAACAAGTTCAAGTCAGTGGGTAATCTCGTATGGTTTGGCTACCAAAGTATGTTAACTGCAACAACGAGTGCTAACACTAGCTAACTACATAGCTTTGCCTGCCATGTAACCATTTCTACGTTAGCTTACTTACGTATTGTTTAAAAAAAAGGTGTACGATAACAACACACTACGCTGTCGTTTTCCTCTGTGTAAAATAATGTATCGTGGGATTTGCAATCGTAAATTAAAACTATCATAAACGCAGCGACAAATAAAAAAAAAAAAACAAGTCGCGTTATCAGTATTTTCCTCGAGCTTCAGCTGACTGCCAATGTCTCTGAACGTGAAAGCGTGTCATCCAATCAGCGTTGGAGTTAACCACGAATGGTGTGCCTGTTCTATTTATCGAGACAGTCCGAGTGCACGGGGGTTTGTTTGAACGTTGCTGTGCTGTGTATGTATCTATGGTTGCTGTGGATGTACCTGGAAAACGCCGCCCAACAGGACAGATACGGATTATAATCAAGTATACAACCAGATAAAGGATCAGGACATGTATTTCTGACGATTAATTCTTCTGTTAGATACTGGTTTAAATTACTGTCTAACATTATAAAAACAAAATGTATCGTTTTATGATATAAAGGCGTCATAAAGTGAAAATAAATATAATCTTTTTGCAACTCATATTGCAGCCATATACACTTTACACATAATAGCTGGTCTGGACATTTATTGGACATTATTTATTGTTCTACTGATGTCTGTTCTGTAGATAATGACAATTCTCAGTGTCCATTTCTGACTGTGGTTTGGTATCTGCAGTTAACAGAGCGAAGCTTTTTTAACCACCACTTCAGATTATGAGAATGTCTTATGACAGTTCATCTCCACTGCCTATGTAAGCACTTTTCTTGAAATGAGTCATTACTGTATCACAGATTTTTTGAGACGTTCGCTATAAATGCTGACTTTTGATATCATTACTTAAAAAACTGTGTTATGATCTGCCGCTATATAGAAAATAAAATTAACTTCACCTTCAAGGGGGGGGACAGGACACTAATATTGCCCTAATATTGCTGCAAATAAGATACAAAACACTGACACAGTGACATTCATATATCTTTCTCCCAGAGCCTCCAGTCCTACTAGGAGTGCTAGTGTTAGGGCCCTTCATGTACACCAGAGGCCCTCAACTCCATCACTGGATGGACATGGTCAACACTCCACAGGAGCCAGTGAAGCTGTGTCACGGATTGGGCAGATACATTTAAGCAACCAAACATGAACAGATCCACAAACACACATGTGCATGTACATAAACACAGATTCAGAAATAGAATAAAAGTGCTAATAAATGTGTTCATTTGTAAAACGCCTTGAGGCGATTTCCATCTCCTAATAAAAGCGTGTCTAGATGAAAGGTGTGTTTGTAATTGCATGTGATTTTAACTTTCATTCTAAATAGAATGTATTAACGTTATGGCATTCTCATAATACATACATTGAAAAATCTACCGTTTCCCCTTAATACATCCGTCAGCAGAATGGTCTCCATCATGCGATTCGGTATCAAGCTGTTATAATATGGAGGGCGGGAACCCAGGGGGGGTCGCCCATCACAAAGGTTCCCGAACCCACCAGCATAAAACCATAAAAGAAATCCTTGATATTTATCTTTTTTTTTTTACTTCAAGACACTTGTAACATAATTGGTTTCACTTATGCATTAGCGTTCCTTTATTTCAGTTATTTCATGACAAATAGAAATTTATTTAAACAAATTACCAGTGCTGAGCTTGGCTCACTCCATGACAGGTACGAATAAGATGACATGCTGGTTGTATCATATATTGTTGTTTCTAAAAGCACTTCCAGTTTTGTCACAGCTATATTCAGTGTCCTGATAATAGCTTCCTTCACCTCCTTCAGTCCACTGTTTCTGCCTTTATCTGGCACATACACTGACATCAGATTTCCCTTTCCTCCACTAAAACAGACAGCTGTGTGTGCATGCTACTTCCTCTTGTAACATTTACATCTCTAAACCAGGCAAAAAGTTTCACAAGTCCTGACAATACAGAATACCTCTTAATTGTTGCTATGTAAGCTACATTTTCATTATATTGTTAGTATCTGGTTAAATGTATTCATTCAGACGTCTAGGTGACTGTCTCTGAATCTTCTTGGCTATATTTAGCCTGCTTAGTTACTGTCTCTGTGCACCATCTAAATGCAATCTGACATCAAGTTCAAGGGAATTAAAAGGATCATCATTGTGTATTTTTAAATGTAAAATATGATTTTACACAAATTAATACAATTACAAGATTGTTTGCCAAGCTGTTCCTACCTAAAAGCATATAAGTTTGATGTTATGTCATGTCTAAGAAGGTGGACTGTGATAAACAGCATTGGGGTCTTCAATGGGATCCATTTTGAAGTCAGTGGGTCGCAGCTTCATGATGCTGGTCTTTAGGGAGTACCACCATCCTCTCCAAGTGTACCAAACTACACCATCATCTGTCCCTGCACTGTAGTGACCATTAGGGTAGTACTTGCCATTAAGATGGGCTGCATGACACCTGAGAAGAGTGAGAGAAGAGTAAATATTTAGTTATTTTTACTGTGATGAATGGCTGTGAGAATCTTGCTGCATATGTTTGCATTATGTGCATTTTCTGGTCGAAAGGTAAAGTCTCTAATCATGAAAACCCATACTTGTTGAACCACCAGCCTCCTTTGTCTTCCTGGGCGCAGTTTCCATTGTAGTTATCATTGTCCTGATCATAGGTGCTGAACTTGATGCCCTGGTGACTGGCCCACTCTGACACACCGACCTGAAACCTTCCAGATAGAGCATCTCCAGCTGTACCTACATATGCTCCAAAATTAAGTCGGTAGTGATCCTGCAGAGAGAAGAGCTGGTCAACATGCATAAGCTTAAAAAAACTGAATAGTTCAACATTTTGGAGAACCTCGTTTAGGGCATTACAGTAGAAGGGGACTTTGGGTCAGCACATTCTTTTTGGAGGGGAAACTGATGTATATAAATTTGTGTGTTGTGTTCAATAAAAGTCAGCTGGGGTCATCAGGTATATGGGGCATGGAAGCCTGCATAAAAAGTCAGCCTGACTCCAGTGTAATTCCTTGGCAGAATTAAATGTGCCATTCTGCATAAGCCATACTTTTACTTTCAGTACTTTAAGTATGTTTAGAGACTAAAATTGTAAACTTTCACATAAGTAACATTTTAAACGCAGGACTTTTACTTGTAACAGAGTTTTTTGCACTGTGATATTGTTACTTTTACTGACATAAGTGAGTACTTATTCCACCACTGCTTTTAGCTTCATATTTAGAGTAGCTTATAGACATAAAAGTAGTACTGATCTGCTTGTGTAAATCTCAACCACTCAACACACGGTTTACAGTAACAGTAAATGTGAACACATGCAGTACTATACATTACTTAAATCCCTCAGCATTGTGAAATAGTTGTATTCTTACCCCAAACTAATCAAACTAACATAGGATTCATTCAACAAATCATTCAGTCCAATACTAAATATCTGGCTTTTCCCACATTGTAGTGGTCAGTCAGCATTAACACCTTTTCACTGGCCACTTCGAAGTCCTTGTACTCCGCATAGCGCTGGTTACCATCAAAGTCTTCCAGGTTAATCCTCAGAGAATAACTTCCTGGAACAGACAGATAAATAATTAATGCCTTCTGAAAATGAGGGGAAATCAACCCATATCAGAACAATGTTGCTATTTAGTGCCAGTTTTCTTTAAAGCACCTGTATACAGTGGAACAAGCTGTAAACACTCCAGAACATGTTAGAGCTGCCTTTTTACACTTCCAGCAGATGCAGGGCAACATTAGCTGCTAAATGCTAATCAGCAGAATTATATTCAGTCTGGCTAGCCACTCATTTTTTTCTGTCCACTTTTGTGTGCTACGTGTGTAGCATACAGCAGGTTATCAAGTTTATGTTGTGGCTGGAAATTAACTTCATACGAGCAGTGAGCATGAGCCAAAACAGAAAGGTGTGGTCCTGGAAACAAAACGATAAGCTAAATGCTAAAATGCCCCATAGAGCTGAGGGTAATAGGAGTAGGCTGATGATTCCTTGTGGGTTTGTCACTGTGACGCTTTTGTCATTACACATATAGTACCCATAGGCTATAGTAATTTAATCCATTGTCTTTATAAGAAAATTGACAGGTGCCACATTAAAGAAAAAAATAAAAAGAGGACTATTAATACACAGAAAATGGACAAAATTTAGTAGGCTAAATATTGACCTTGTGCAGTGATGTAATGCAGATTGTCATTTCCAAGCCAAAACTCTCCTAATTCTGCAGTCATGTCTCCAAAACCTTCCTTATACTCCGTCCACGACCTAATGAATGGATGAATGGATAGATGGATGGATGGATGGATGGATGGATGGATGGATAGATAGATAGGATACATTACTTTTCATACAATTTCATTATTTTATCAATAAGTATCAGACTTCGGGCATACCTGTTAAATGTCTCTGTTCCATTGATCCGTCTCTGAATGACAGTCCAGCCACCTCCTTCACTCATATCACAGTAGACTCTGACTGGTGAAGAGATGTTGTGGGGTCTGATTTTGTAGAAACCACTGGATTTGTATCCAGAAGTGTAGAGGTGGGTACAGTCTAACATATGCACACACAATTACACATGATCTGCATTTGAGGCCTGAAACATTATAGTTGAGCTTGGTTTTCATATGTTGTTTTCAAGTGCAGAGGCCAAGGATCTTGCTGACCTGTGTACTGAGTGTCCTGGTTCTGGT